ATTGGAAAGGAGACATTAGTAGTCAAATTCCATTGGCTCTCCTTTATTTTCTAGCTTGTGTTGGCTCTTGTGCTATAGGGTTGGTAAAAAAAAAACGATGCTTTCGTTAAAAAATCTGAAGGAAATATTGCTTAATAACAAGAATTAATCATCTTTCAACAGACCTATACAATCGTTATATTTTAAAACGACACATTTTATCTCGAGCCAGCAGGTTGGCATGATTATATTGGACATTTTTCTCTTTTTGTCTCGACTCTCACTCCCTCACTAGCACAAATTGTTGCCCTATGACGCAATCTGTCATCCCCGCTAGCCCAAGTTCCCCAGCCAATCAGAGTGCGGCAGTAGGAGGGTATCCAGTCGACTCATGCTTGTAAACAGCTCTGACAGTAGGAGGGCCTTTTTAAAATCCCAGCCCCACCCTCTGTTGTCAACTCCGTTCAGCCTGTTTCAGTACGCATGATTTTACATCGAAATAGGAAAAGGAAGGGGAAGAGAGGGAAGAGACAGAGGAGATGAAAGTGAGCAGTTACGTGTGAGTCAGGGCGTGCGGTTGTTCCTCAGGGAAACTCTCACGGAGCAGCTATGAAACCTTCTACACGGCTGCTGTCCTCTCTGCTGACAGTAGGTAGTGACTGTCAACTCTTGACTCTTTAGCCTTATATGTTCGCGTTGTCTGCATGTGTGACTGTATAGTTTTCAGATTTGCACAGGCCGTCAGCACACATTTACTGGTGTTGTACAGGTGCATCACAGTGACCAGAAGCAGAAGGAAATATTCGTTGTATTTGCAATGTCTGCCTCTTACAGTCAGCTGTTAAAATGCAAGATTAACACCGCACTGCTTTTGTCTATATTTGTATACATAAATCATAAGGAGGAGTACGCATAAACTGAGACTTTTACTGTAGCAAAAACTCAACAGCAGAGGTTTCAGCTCTGGAAGAGAAAACGAGCAGCTTTTGTGTTCGCTACAAAGTCGACAGTGAAAGGAAACCATTGTGTGCCTGGGTTAGCTTTTTGTTACAACAAAACAAATGCTGGACTCACGCATCGCAATACACACCCATAAACAGTTAAGTTACACACCCACACACGCGCACACACACAATCTAATCCTCAGAGTTTTTTTGGGAGGGGGGAATTACTCAAGCCTGAGGTCATCCACAACATCGCTGCTGCTTCACAGTGAGCAAATTAAAACACTCATCATTTTTATGGCATCAACTGACAGCTCCCTGCAAGATGCTTCCTTTCATGAATACATTTTTTTTAAACTTCCTGCAGTCCTGCCTCGGTGGGTTTGGCATCTAGCTACCCCGCTGTGTGGGACTGCAGAGGCTAAATTCAAATCTGCACGCCTTCAATCACTTCAGAGTCTGACAGTCGACCAGTCATGGTTGCTTAAGAGCATCAAATCAAAAAATTCTGCCTCACTTTGGAGTTTAACTGTGCATGGATAAATTCTTGGAGATATCAGCAATTTTCTGAATGCATTTTACAGATATTTATGATTGTGCTCCCCTCTTTTCTGATATGGAGCAAGAGCTGTTGGATTTCATTTCTTTGCTCCCTTTGCCTCAGTTTTGAAAATGTATTCATTTAATAAGAACAAGATCTGTTTTAAATGCCTTTGCCTCTTCATGCTTGAGTCAAACATTTCAAATGAAAGCTTAAATTAAAGTGACATTTTTTGTTATTTCCTCCCTGTGCCAATAAATTTAAACCCATCAAATGAAAATGCATTCAGTCCACATTTTATTTTCCTCAATTTATACATGAAATGTCAAACTCCATTTACTCTATTCATTTAGTGCTTTATGTATTGATTGATGGCAGCCTAAATCTTCCTGGAGTTTATTTGAAAAAACTCAGCATCTCAGCATAGCCTTTTCCTTCTAAGTTTTCTCATACTGTTTTCACCACAAAGTTTGCCATTGGATGTCTGAACTTTGACTGTACCCAAAGATGTATACTACACCAGTTGTTGCTGCGCTGTAAGTTTAGGGTTGTCTGCTGGAGGATGAACCTCTGTCCCAATCTCAGGTCTTTTAAATCCTCTAACAGCTTTTCTTTAGGGATCCCCTGTGTTCAGATCCATCAATCAACTCAGTCAGAGTAATTGATCCTGCTGAAGAACAACATACGGTTTCTATTTAGTTATGTAAGTTGGCTATGACAAAAATTTGTATTTTATGGACCTAAGCTTAAGGGAATTAATCACCTTTTGTGAAACTTTATGTCCTGTCAAGTCTTTGTCATATGTGTGTTGCTTTTGAACATCCCGGTTTCATATAGTGTTCATGCATTGGGGTTAAAGGTGTAGAATTCAGAGTTCTGGTGCATCAGGATGGGGTTTGTTACTTTTGCCATGATGTTGTCTGTTTTACATTTATCTTCTAACCATCTCAGAATGAAAGTTCAATATTTTGTGAGTGCCCTTAAGTTTTTATATAATAGCTGAATTAATCAGAATGTATGTTAGGGACCTGTAAGGTGATGCATGCAGAGGTGGTTAGTATTTTGGTAGAATGAGATTTTAATGTTAGGCAATTTCTGAAACATTTGGATAGTGTCTAATTTAGCGTGCTTCATTCTGTATAATAGGCAAATATGTGCTTTGATAAGGTGTCTTAGCATGCAAAAGAATGTAACAGCCTAACTAAGCTGCCAATCAAATTGTGTGTGCTAAAGTATCCTACTCCTATTTCTAACGGTTGGCGGCCTTGTTTTAGCGTACATATTATTTTCTTTTTGTTATGTATGTCAGGCAGTAATCTTTTACACTGTGTAGTATGGTTCTTTGTATCTGATTAATTAAGAATAAACTCTTCCCTTTTCGTTTAAAGCCAGGAGAAGAACGATGCATATTCATGTAAATTTAGAGAAACTTAAGATACTTGCTGCTAAACATTTTATTTATTCACACTGTACTCACATGGTAAAAGTTCTGTGTCATTTTCATGACTAAGCAACAGATATGACCTTTAACCCCATCACTGTAAGCGCTGCATGTCATTGGATCTGCTCTGCAAGTACTGGAAAGATATACAGTTAGGCTCTTAATCACTAAGATTCTATGTTTGCGTGTGACAATAGGGCATGTGTACAGATTGAATATCAGGGATAGAGGGTTGCATTAGATTCAGGTTCAACAGATGTGCAGAGAAGAACAGAGTGGAGAGGAGGCTGATAAATCAAACTCAACCTTTTAACATGAACTTAGATTTTTATTTTTACTGTGACAGTTGAACTCTTACTGCATGTGTTCAATATGCTTGTTTTAGACACAAACTGCTCTCTGCTTAGTCTTTGAGCAAGGAAATGAGTGCATGCCTGATACATAAATAATATATATGCTGACCTACTGAGAAAATGTGACCAAACCACATGGATGGAACCAGTTAGCAACACCAAGATGCAACTAACATATGCAGGCTGAAGCTCTTAAAGGACATAACCACAAAAAGTGTCCGGAACAAAACAAAATCTGACATGGTGCTTAATTGTTTTATTGGAGTTTTCTTTTATAGACCAACTACAAAAATATTTTATCAGCTATTGGTGGCATACTTTTTAAGTATAAAGGTTGTGCTTGCACAAATGAATATGGAAGTGGGCCATGTGTAGACAGGAGTGGTTTATGTTGCTAGGCAGAATATCCAGGTCTGCAACTGCATTTCTAGATGAGATTATGTAAAGCTGGTGGCTCTGTTGCACTGCTGACCCACAAAGATTTAGCAACCATTAAATTTCAGTGTCTACGGCATTTACAATCTCTTTTAGAATGGGGATTTCAAATAATTCAGGGCAAATATTTTCTTTTATTAAGTGTTTGAATCAAACTATGTCCAAAAGGATAGTTCAATTTAAAACCACAGTCATGTGGGAAACATGCATGTCTATATTAACTTAACTGTATTTACAACTGCACATATTATTTAAGATTATTTGGTAATTTGTGAATATATTTCAAATCTTCAGTTCTTTTCAGTAAAAAGCATGAGTTCATTGGTTAAACCAGGAGCATTTACATTAAACTCCTGAAATCATTATGGATACTTTTGAGGTAATAGATGAGTAACTATGGTTTCACATGGCATATCCATATGTGCTAATGACACTTCCTTTTAAAGAAGCTTTATCAGAAGTCATTTATTTTATGCTTTAGTGTGTTTCACAATACCGATTAGCTTTGAAAACCTATAAAAAGGCTCTTGTTCTGGTTTGCTGTTGTCCCATATAAAGATACATTTCCATTGCTTGGCAAAACCTTTTTTGTGTGTATTTAGCAAAAACAATTATATCTTAGCTGCAGTTACAGGCACCATCACTGTCTCTAACAGTTGGCATGTTTTCCCTCCCTGTAAGACAAGTCAGAATGTGGCTGCATTTTTACAACATGTTGCTATCCCCGTTGACACTTCTGAGCATGACTCAGTTGTTGAATTGTGTCACATGCGCCATCTACTTAATTTGGATATTCTGACCTTAATCACTTCTCTGCAAAATGGAGTAAAATGCAAAACAACCCTGTTTTGCATTTTACATTTTTATCCTGGGGCCACTTATGTGCATCTCCCTCCTAATCTCTAATAAACATATTTTTTTCTAAGTGTGTACTTGTTCTAACTTTGAACCATCATCAATTTTATCCACATACCAGAATCCCTAATTCATTAGTTAACTTGGTTATTTTGTGTCTTTTTTTCATGCTTTTTGTAAGTTGTGGATACAGTTTTTTCTTTGGTATTACTGGTTTTCTTATATACTCGGTGTACACTCAGACTCTTATCTCACCTAGTAACTGTTTTTGGCTTTAACTTATAAATTCCAGCATAACAAAAGCACTTTTGAAAAATCTAGTAATTATAAATCTTTCTATACTTCAGTTTCTGATACATGAATGAAGCCCTAAATTTCACACCGAATAGGAAAGCAGAGTCTAGAATCTGAGCAGCTTGTTTGATTTATTTTATATTTTTCTATCCCCGCAGGTTGACAGCTGTCATTCTCTGTGGCTTTAAATGTCCACTGCTATGGCCAAGCGTGAGGCAGGGAACGCCAGCCCTGTGGTGCGTCAGATAGACAAGCAGTTCCTGGTTTGCAGCATCTGTTTGGATCACTACCACAGCCCCAAGGTCCTGCCCTGTCTACACACATTTTGCGAAAGGTAACCATTGGAATTTGTAAACGTTGTACAACCAAGCCTGAAATGCTTCGTTGTACAATAATTGTTGCGTCTAAAAAAATAAAAAAGATGCAGCACAGTTGCTGAATTGCAGCTTCTTCTGTGGTTGTGGTTCCTGAATAATATCCTGTTAACTGTGAAATTCTTGTTAGCGCCACATCTAATTCAAATCCCTAAACACAAAATAACAGCTTAACATTGTTGACTCCTCAGAGAGGCCTTTTTAGTAATGGATAGTGCCCGTTATCTTTTGTTTTTAAAGACACAATTACAAAGACTCTGTCTTTTATGTCTCATTAAGATGGAATGCATTCATTTTGTCTCTCTTCATAAGAAAACATCCTTTTAATTTTTACTGGAACTGATGTGTAATATCTCTGTTAATGTTATATCCTGTTACAAACTTGTTAACTTTCTCCCTGTAGCTGTCTTCAGAATTACATTCCTCCAGAGTCTCTGACACTCTCGTGTCCTGTGTGTCGACAAACATCCATCCTGCCTGAGAAGGGAGTGGGAGCTCTACAGAACAACTTCTTCATCACTAATCTCATGGAGGTCTGGTCCTACATTACATTTTATATCACATAATCTATCTATACCACTGATGAAGCATTACACAATGCCTCATCTTGTATCTGATTAACAAAAAAGCTAATCAGATACAAGCACACCTGTTATTTATACTTTGAAAATAAAAGATTAGAACAAATGAATAAAACCTGTATATGTATTGCCTGTGTGAGTTTTTTTTTTTTTTTTTTCCGAGCTGCATTTAATTGGAAAGACATTGCGGGAGGGAGGGAGAGCATTCTTCCAGACTGAGGTCATTCTGAAGACTTAATCTCTGAAAGGTTTTTTTTAAGAACATAGCTTTTGAGAATTTAATTAACAGTGACTGGAAGTTTAAAAAGTAAATGTTTATGTCATGGATTAAAAACACTTTAAGAAGATTTAAACTAACTATAAATACCATTGTGTAATTTCATAACACAATGAATTTAAAAGAAAGGGGTATTCACAGATGTGATTATTAAAAGTAGCCTGTAATGAGAATGGTAATGTGTTGTGTTAGGTCCTGCAGCGTGAGCCGGAGTGTTCACGGCCCGAGGCCTGCAGTGTGTTGGAGTCGGTCAGCGCTGCAGTAGCAGGGAAGCCTCTTTGCTGCCCAAACCATGAAGGGAAGGTATGAAATCCTTCTCTGCTCGCTAAAAGGTCCTAAATTGTCTTGTTTGGTGCTTTAGATAAAGTGAAAGGAATGTTAAATATTGATATCTTGCTTACCAAGAGATAATGATTAAGTTTGGCTCCATCTGCAGGTGATGGAGTTCTACTGCGAGTCTTGTGAGACAGCCATGTGTTTGGACTGCACAGAGGGCGAGCACCGGGATCATATGACTGTTCCTCTGCGGGATGTAGTGGAGCAGCACAAAGCTGTGCTAAAAACACAGCTTGATGCCATTCACAGCAGGTCAGAACTTGATCTTTGGTGGGGATTTTATCTTTCCCCCTCATGCAGTGATTTAAATTTTCAAGCATTTCTTACAGAGTATCATCCTAGAAAGAAAATTTAACTTTAAAATTTTACATATTTTTAAGGTCAGCTGAAAATATCTTGATGAAAAACTTTCCTTTGGTTGTCTTGAAGACTCCCTCAGCTGACAGCAGCTGTTGAGCTGGTGAGTGAGATCTCGCGGCAGCTAAATGAAAGAAAGACTGAGGCAGTAGCAGAGATCAACAGTACGTTTGAAGAGCTGGAGCGGGTGCTGCATCACCGCAAGACAGCCCTCATCACAGACTTGGAGAACATCTGCAGCTCCAAGCAAAAGGTCCATTCCATACACTTTCACACATGCAGTTATTGCTTCTTTTTTTATGTTCTGGCTCTCCGAACTTGCCAACCCATTTTCCGCTTTTTTGAATGCAGGTCCTCCATGCCCAGCTTTCCTCTCTTCTCCAGGGGAAGGAACACATCCAGAGCAGCTGCAGCTTCACAGAGCAGGCTCTCAGCCATGGGAATGCAACTGAGGTGCCTCATAAAATATAATTTTGTGGCTACTCATAAGCCAACTAATCAGGGAATCAACTATAGTAGTGGATGTTACATTTTTTTACAGAAAAAAAAAAATGGTTAATGTTTTGTAAGTGTAGGTGCTACTGGTTCAGAAGCAGATGAGTGAGCGGGTCACAGCTCTGGCCAGACACGATTTTCCAGAGAAGCCACATCAGAACGCACATCTAGACTGTCAGGTACTATCCGCTGTTTGCTATTATTCAAACTCATCAATTTTAATCACCAGCAGCACCAACCGCTCTAACACTTATGAGTTTATTAAAGCAGGAGTTGTGTACTCTAGGTGGAGACTGAGGGTTTGCGGCGCTCCATCCAGAACCTGGGCGTTCTCCTTACAACATCAGCCGTGGCACACACCTCTGTCGCCACAGGGGAGGGACTGAGACATGCAGCTACTGGGCAGCACCAAACCATTACTGTGACAACAAAAGACAAAGTATGGATTTTTTTTTTTTTATTCTGAGATTTTAGTGCACCATTATGATTTGGAATGCTGCTTTCCTCTCTGAAAGTGTTTTATAGTGCCTTTTGAAGACATTTTACAGTGAAGTTTTATTATATTTTGTGATATTAAAACCACAGATTCAGTTGGAATTTTATATAGCAAACCAACACAAAGCAGTGTTTGAAAGAAAAAGGATACATAGGTTTTAGTTTCTCCTGTCTGACCAGACATTCTGTTTGCCTTCTGCCACACATGACTTGCAGGATGTAAGACCAATTTTTACTTCTGTCAGCAGGAGCTTCTTCACACTCTCCTAATAAATACCACACTTAAGGTGTGGACTACTGTAGTTCCTAGAGTCTTTGAGCCTTTCTGTTGCTTTCTGATAAATGCTCTCTTTGTCCTGGCGGTCTGTTTAGGTAGATAGCCATATCTTAATAACTTTGCAGTTGTCCCACACTCTTTCCATTTCCAGTTGATGAATTGACAGTGCTCTTTTAGACATTCAGAGGTTCAGATGTTTTAACAACCAAACAGTGCCTTCAAAAATGTATCCATGAGCAGCTGTATTTATATTTCAGAAAAGTTTTTTTTTTCCATTCTGGTGCTCTGCTATTTAGCTGGATTCTATAGCCAACTAGTGTATTGCCACCAGATACATTTTCTTTTTCCTTTAAGCTATATATTAAAATTTTCAGTTACACTTTACATTTATATTTACACAAAATTTTCTGTACATAACAAGTTCCATAATAATTGTTGTCATTATTTATAGGATGGAGAGTTGGTGAGGACAGGAAATGCTGTTTTAAAGGTTGAGATATTGTCAGCTGACGGTAACAGAGCTGCAGAGGTAGAAATAACGGACAACAAGAATGGAACGTATGAAGTGGGCTACACGTTGCGCTCCGAAGGAGAGTATTCGTTCTGCCTGCTGCTGTATGGTCAGCCCATACGTGGCAGCCCATTCCGTCTGCGGGTGGTCAAACCGTCAGATGTGCCCCAGTCTCCGGATGATGTGAAAAGGAGGGTGAAGTCCCCGAGCGGGACAGGAGGCCACATCCGTCAGAAAGCGGTGCGAAGGCCTTCCAGCATGTACAGCACCACCAAAAAAAAGGAGAACCCCATTGAGGACGAGCTCATCTACAGAGTTGGTAAGACAAACTTCAAGGACATATTTCAAAATGTCTCCTGTTAAATAGGTTAACAATTTGAGTTATTTTTTCTTATTGCATAACAGTTGCTTAGTCAATTCTTGAAACTGGTAGACAAAAGTGTTTTCAACAAGCAGAATTTTTATACTTTTCTCTGTCAAAGCAGATGCAACACAAAACACTTTACATGCACTGATTACATTCAAACTAATATAACCCACAAAAACACACAACTTTTAGTGTGTTGCATTACCTACCTAAAAAAAAGAAGCGTTTCAAGTTTTAATTGCATAATAACACAATTCAAAACCGCTCATTAGGCTGAGAAGCACTCAATAATCTTTGCTCAGAATTAGCAGGAACATGCTAGTATGGGCTGTCAAGGATAATAAATCAGACACAGTGAGAGTGTTAATAAAAAAAATACAAGTACTGAATGCCAAACTCTCTCCTTAGGTTCCCGGGGAAGGGAAAAAGGCGAGTTCACAAATCTGCAAGGAATCTCAGCCTCCAGCAACGGCAGAGTGGTGGTGGCTGACAGCAACAACCAGTGCATACAGGTGAGTCAGACACATAGAGGACAATGCATGTTTATGCAACTGTGTAGGACCACTGTACTACCACTGATGTTATGTGCTAAACATGAGTTCTGGAAATGGCTGCAGGTATTTTCCAACGATGGGCAATTTAAAATGCGCTTTGGGGTCAGGGGTCGTTCTCCAGGACAGCTGCAGAGACCGACAGGAGTCACTGTAGACATGAATGGAGACATCGTGGTGGCCGATTATGACAACAGATGGGTCAGCATCTTCTCCTCAGATGGCAAGTTCAAGGTACACATAATACACCACCTTATCTTTGATTTAAGTCTCGGTAATGCCTTGTGAAAAAAACAAATTATTATGAGTTGTAGCAAATATTTGTGTCTGTGTCCACAAAATGTAAACTCAAAGTGCTGTATCTTGGTTGCTAAATGCCTACTTGAGGATTTTTTTGAACGTGCACAGAAATTCAAATGGAGAAAGACCTTTGAAGTCCAATGGGTTCCAAAGCCTGAAAACACCCTTAATCATAGAACTCAACAAGAGCGTCTATGACAGGGTCAGATGACTGTTTACTTACTCAGAACCAACCTGCTGTTATTCTTCAGGTTACGCCTACTCTTTATCCTCTCTCTATTGGTGAGAGGGTTTACTTTGGCTTCAGCAGATGTCCTGTCTGCCCAGGAAGGTTCCTCTGAGGAGGCTGTTGGTTCTGAGGTACAATCTGGATGTTTTAGCAATTCCTCTCCTTAATTTATATTAATTAAAAATAATATAATATCAAAGATAAGGTGGTCTACCTCAGTTACATGAATGCAAAACAAACAGAACTGGTGGGGATTTAAAAATTAGACAGTGAACAAAAGTAAAAAGTCACCAAGAAAAGAAGCCAAATTGAATCTAACCAAGTAGATTCAGGATTGGTTCTTGCAATTGGGTCATTGATGGTTCTATGTGCTTGCTTTGGTCAACCCATAAATCTCCCTTGATCTAACTCTCTTCATTTCCAAACTAAAGCTTTATTAAACACAGAGGGTTGTAGAAGAGAAGAAAGCTCTGTACAAAATACCCCTACAAATCCAACCAACAGGATTTTAGTTTGTCCAGTAATCCTTTTTGTCTTCTTCTACCACAGAATAAGATTGGTGCAGGCCGTCTTATGGGTCCCAAAGGAGTGGCCGTGGATAAAAACGGACACATCATCACTGTGGATAACAAAGCCTGCTGTGTCTTCATCTTTCAGTCCAATGGGAAGCTGGTGACTAAGTTTGGAGGCAGAGGGACATCTGACAGACAGTTTGCAGGTGAGGAGAGATGCTAAGTCTTCAGCAGAGCTTTTTTGAACCTTGATAGATAGGATTGCAGACAATCTGTTGCAGAGAATTTTAGGTTTTCTACAAATTGAAAACAGTTTTCAACCTCATATTTGTTCTATAAAGAGCTTTGCGGGGTGTTTCTCATTCACCTAGTCACACAAATATCCAGTAGTTCCATAAAGTAGCTTTTTGTCTTTGTAAAGAAATGTATTTATTAAAAGCATTGTACTATTTCTGCCATGAACTGGCAACTTGTCCAGGGCAGACCTTGCTTCTCGCTTGATGACTGCTGGAGAGGACCTTGAGCTCCTGCAAGAATAAGTGTGTTCAGATGATGGAGGGGTTCTACTATATGGTTGAAAGGGGCAGGGAGTAAGATGAGATAACATGGAATGTTGTTTTGGCCCATTTATATATTTTGAGGAATCCTTGACTCTCCCATGGCAGCCATTCGGGTGTGCCCTATTGGTGACATTTCCGATTTGTCATCTATTTACCCAAAGCGGCATCAACAATTAGTATTAATGTTAATTGTTCTTCAGTTATTGGAATATGAAATGTTAAAGTTATTTGTAACTTTAACATCTTGCTGACATTGCTTGGTTTGCAGAAGGCGACTCTACTGATTGCGCTAAAGTATTTATTTTCTCACCTGTCTTTATTTCTGACAAACTGCTTGTTCTTTCTTTCTGTTTTTCCTTCTGTTCTTGATTCAGAAAAACTTGGCCCAAACTTTAATAAATCTGGCTCAGTTTTCAGTAAGTACTAAGTGTGGCCTTGCTGCGACCTTAATCCCACAGTGTCCTCTGTCTAACCCAATTCCCTGATCACGTGTCTGACTTCCAGAGAAGACAGATTGTCGATAAAGATGGATGAAGATATACTTGTACAGAGATTGCTTGAAGCTCAGCTACAATTTCATAAAAAGCAGAATCAACATGTTGTCATGTACATTGTGTTTTTTGTGTGACTATAAAAAATTAATTGCAAAAATACAGTGCTATGAAAAAAGTATTGACCCAATTACAGGTTTTCTTAATTCTTCCTTTTTTTCACGACTTCATGTTTTAACAATGGCCAAATATTTTCAAATAATTTCTTTGAAATGTAATTTATTATTTTTATTTTAAAATACGAATCAAATCAATGTGATTAATTACATTTCTCTAGTCGCACTTTGGTCTGGTAGTTTGTCTGAACTCTAGAATCAACAAAAAACTTAAAAATAACCTCTCTGACAACGTAAAGAAGGGTAAGATATCTCAGAAAGCAACAGATTTGTCAGACTGTTTAAGGGAATTTGTCATTCTACATGTCATGCAGTAGTAAGGCCATGAACTAAAAACATTTAATTAATTATTTAATTTATTATATAAAAATGGGGACATTTATACTTGGTTGTAAATAACTGAAATTGGCATTTAAAACCCCTGGTTATTTAATCCTTTCTTCTGATTTTAAAATTCGATCTGAAACAAGGCATAAAAACAAAACCAGAAGAAATCTGTAATGGGTTGAATACTTTTTTTTTTTTTTTTTCACAGAACCGTGCAGATGTTTTTTAGTGGTTTCTGTTAATCAACAATCCTTCTGTGTTTTATGAAAAAACAAATGTTTGATTCTGAAAAACACCTAGATGGATGATCAAAGAACTCAAAAATCCACGCTAAACCACGTTGCAATTTTTTCAAACCATCAATACAATCACACATCTGTTAGCATGCACTAACAATGCAAAATATGATTCAAACTGAAAAGTCTTGCTTCTCACTACTATTGTAGAAAAGTTTCTAAATTTAGAACAGTACATAAAGACTGTCAGAAAAGGTTTTTACACAAAGATGAACATCAACAACCTCATCAAACATGTTTGACCAACCTAATAACTGTGACAGGATTTGTGCAAATAAAATAAATCTGTTTTTGATTCTCTGTTCAGGTCCACACTTTGTTGCAGTGAACAACAAGAATGAAATTATAGTGACAGATTTTCACAATCACTCTGTTAAGGTAAAAGATATATAATCCCTGCAAGACTTCATATTCAGAGAGTGTATCTGGTGGTATGAATTTATTACGACTTGTTGCAGGTATACAGCGCAGATGGGGAGTTTCTGTTTAAATTTGGCTCTCATGGAGAAGGCAATGGCCAGTTCAACGCGCCCACTGGTGTGGCTGTAGATGCTAATGGAAACATCATTGTAGCCGACTGGGGTAACAGCAGAATACAGGTAATGTTCACTTTTGTTTTCATCATCATTAATATTGAGCTATCATAGCAATGGCCTTGAATTCCAAGTCTTTTATATAATACTACACCTTAAAAAAGGTATTTATACTCTGTTTTTTTTTTCAAAATATTTTGCCACATTGCAATGGTTGCAAGCATTTGCCTTGAATTTCTTCTGTTTTGTCTTTTTGTCATACTTAAATGTTTAAGAAAAAATGATATTTTGAAATGAAAGCTAACCTGAGTAAAAGCTATCAAAACCATTCATGACATTTCTCAAACTAACGACTGATTACATCTTGGTCACTTCCCAAATCTCATGACCACAGATACGAGTAGAAATCCAATCCACCTATCGATCTCCTGTCCCATTTTTCTCTCATTTATCAACAAGACCCTGAGACACTTTAACTCCTCCATTCGGGGCAGGACCTTGTCCTCGACCCAGAGAAGATATTCTACCCTTTTCTGGCTCTAGACCATGATCTCGTATTTGGAGGTAGCAACCTTCATCCCAGCTGCATTACACTCAGCTATGAACTTGCTGATGTGATATTCAAATTAGTGTCACAATCTGAAACAAAGATAAAAAAAAAAAAAACACAGAAGAAATGTGTAAAAGAGAAATGTTTTTCAGAGCACTTTTTGATAGTTATTCCATTATTGGCAAAAAATAAAAAGGAAATATTTTGTTTTTGATTTCTAGGTTTTTGATAGCACAGGGTCCTTCCTGTCCTACATTAACACCTCAGCTGACCCGCTCTATGGGCCCCAGGGCCTCGCTCTCACCTCAGATGGACATGTGGCAGTTGCCGACTCCGGAAATCACTGCTTCAAAGTTTACAGATATCTGCAGTAGATAAAGGAAAGGCATCAACCAATCCTGCTTGAATAAATTAATATTTCACATTACTGGCTGACATTAACGTGCAATGTTCCTGCAGCCTGTTTGGGCAGATTCATTTCTTGTTCACTTCTTTTCAGTGAAGGGTAAAGAAATTTCAAAAATATTAATATTAGAAGAAGAGAAACAAGTTGGATTTCTGCCAGTATATCCACCTGGACTCAGCCTGCAACCGTGGCATTTTGTTGTAAACCTAATTTCTGGATTAGATTCGTGACTTTTCCAGCAACCAGCAAGGCAAACAAGCATGTACTATTTCCAACCATGTTTTCAGAGGAAGGTAGGCCTGTAGTTCAGTACAGTTTGTAGTGAGGTTCTTTAAAAATGTTACAAGCTCTCAAAATCTTACCTGCTGTAGTTAACTTTCATGTGTTCTTTTTGAATTAGCCCCAGAGGCTAACATCCAGTCTAAAGGGTCTAAAGCCAATGAGGACTGAAAACAGCTCCAGTCTCAAAGGAGTTGAAGTTAATGCTAATGGTTATTTATGAATGCTTATTTATTAATCTTTAGAGAATAGGGTAAGTATTATTGCATTGGACATTTATTTTTAATAGAAGTTGTTGGAGATGTTGCACCACCAATATATTTCCTGTGTGAAAAATCCAGGCTACATATAACATGCTTTGTATGTTATCTGGGAACATATAAAGCATGTCTGATCAGAACACTGAGGGTGAGAGTAATGCAGAATTCAAAGCAAAGAAATTATTAAATTATCACTGTTTAAAAGTTTACTTGCACCTTTTTTTCAACTGGCTTTTTTTCAACTTTAGCATGCCCTTTACTTCTTGTGTCCTGACCACAGCATCAATATTCTCTTCAATCCTTCATGTGAAATCTCCATAACCTTGTGGTATTATGAATTACTATGCTTCTTACTTCAGAGGCTTGCAACACTACTTAAATTTGGCAATATGGGGAAAAGGTTGTTCTGTCCATATCCTGTTCAACAAATGTCAAAATCATATTCAAAGGGGAAATATACAGAAAACATTTAAATGACTTATTAGAAACTCTGGTTTAGCACATATATTTTGGCCTTTGTCCATTTGTACTGCAGGGAAATCACTGGGAAACCACCTCCATTATCCGTTTCCTGTGTAAATGATTTTCATCCTTACATTTCAATAAAATCCAAGAATACAAATGCAATAATGATCTAAAACTTTATAAAGGAGTGTTTGTAGAAATTGGTATGTTTTAGTTTAAGCTTCTGTAAACAATAAATCAACTAAATGAAGAACATAGGTGTTTTCTGCTGCAGAGAAGATATATTTATTGCTTGAAACTTTTCAATAGAACATCATTTCACAATCCTAAGAGGTGCCATTTTGTCACTGAGCTCCAAAACCCTGCTATTCCTGCCTTCCATTTTTTAAAACAGGACATTTTGGAATGTGTAGTAGTAGGTCAATTCATCATTCTGTACTTTTTCATCCTGACAAGACCCACCAGTCATTAGTTGACCTTTTTGCAAGTTATAGTTTCTTCAATGAAGCATAACATCTCAACAAGCTCCACTTCTACAGGTAATTTCTGTTTCTGGTCTTGCTGTTGTAATAACCAAAATAGATTTCTAAAAATTGACCCCATGGCTTTTTGCACTTTTGTCTGTTAATATCAATAATTTACTGTACTTGTAAATATGCATATATATGTGTACATATGGCTTTATTGTCCATGTTATATTGCAACAGTATATATCCTACTTATTCCAACATTTAAATGAAAATGCCAAGCAGTAGCCACCCAAAATGAGTGAAATATTAGAACAAAGTTGTAAACATTTGCTGTATTTGATTTTTTCCAGATTATTTATTTTCGATTTTCTTTTCTTTATGATGTGCAAATTATTTTTCTAACTGTTGTGTTGGACACTTTACTTTCTGCCAAACATTATAAGTTGTAGCATCTGAAATCTGATTTCTCCTCTAACTTCCTCAAAGAGCTTACATTGTTTAACATTGATGTTACCCTCTGCCAAAATGTTTTAATTTGCTTTTGAACATTGCACAAAGTACAAATATAAGAGTTCTATCATTTTACAAGAATAAGATATGCCTGTATGTACAGTTCATTTGTTATTGTTCATAACAGTCATTTTATTATTGTTATTGATAACCAGCACTTTATCATGGACAGTTTAGAGTATTTGTGTTTATGTGTGGCTCCAAAAGGAACCTATTTTTTATGTACGTTTATAAAAACTGTTAACTGTCTTTATTCTTGTTTTTCATTTGTTGGAAAACTGTGGACTGACAATTTTTCTTTGTAAATCACATTGTTTTTCATTTTCCATGTCTTTAATTGTCACTAACTAGAGTTTGTGTGAAATGACTAAAGCACATTTAAATAAAAGGCTACATTTACCAAATATGTGTACGGCTGTATGCTAGAGATCAGACAGAAAGCAATTACAAGACGTGTGTAATCCTGGAAAATTATTGCAAAAATAAACCAGAACAGTGAGAAATGCTGTGTAAATTGTGTTTTATTTCAACAGGCTTCTGTTTCATGAATATGCCTTGAACAATTCCTTTAGTTAATGACAATTATGATGACTGCTTTTGGCAGATTAAGCACAGTCCAGAAGAAAATTTAGTTTGATCACACTAAGCTGAAAATGATCGACTGCTGTATTTCCAAACTCACAATCTACGTACTTCATTTAAGAGCTGGTTTAAACAGAATCAATGTATGTCTTCTAAATACTTCCTTTGCCAATAAGGTATTTATAAACCTGAAGATCAGTGACTTTAAATAACAAGGGCACATCATACCTAAATGGGACCTTCTTCAACAAATATTTTAGTGACAAAAAAAGTTTACAGAAATGTTTCTGTTAGATTTAGTCATTTGTGATGCAGTAAGCCCACATCTCAATAGAGAAACAGCAAAGTTGCTTCTGAGTCACTACATGGGCAGGAGAAGATGAAGCAGTTTTCTCACCTCCTCCTTAAATGTTCTGCATCAGTGACTCAGCAGCACCAGATTGGTCTGTTGTGGTTGAGAAAAAATAAAGTGGACGCTAGACAAGAAGAGCACAGAAAGAACAACGAAGATAAAAATATAACTTCTTTTGTTATGGACGTCACACCGATGCAAATAAATGTCACAATAGCACACATAGTAAGTGAAAATGTTTAATAGTATTTTAAAGGTGGTTGAAGTCTCAACTTCATCTTAAAAAAAAGAAAATATGAAGCTATAGCTAATTAGAACATAATCCTACACACAGTCACAAGTGAGAACACGGACGTTGCGAAATCCATTTAAAAGGTTATAATTATTTTTTGAACATAATGAGTTGATATCAAAACTGCGATTATAGTGATGGCATATGAGGATGAAGTGGACTGCTTCTTTAAGAAGAAACTAAGATCAATAAATTATAGATTTGTTTTGTTTTATTGAGATGAAATAGATTGAATATTCATACAGAGGGCAGGATTCTGGAGTCAAACTTTGTGACACAACTGAAAATAATCCTAAGATGGATAAGTAAATTAAGTCAATGTAACTGCATGAATAAACCCATAGAGGTGCAGTCATGGATAAAGCACAGCGCGAGAAAAAAGGAGATGCAACAAAAAGCTCCAATAATCAAAGAGCACTGTCTTCAGGTTCAATTGTCTAATAAAAAATAAAAATAAAATAAAAAGTTTGAAAATTTGCCATTTTAATAGACATTCAGAACCACAACTCCAAGAAAAAAAAAAAGTAAAACAAATTAACCGACAAAAATTTATAACGGCACAAGTTTAATTTTTTAAGAAACCAAAACAAAAAAAAAATCAAAAAAAAAAAAATTATACATTTATTTTAAATACATGTATCAGTCATATGTAACAGCAGTAATCAATTTAACATAAAACATAAAAGCAAGAAGACAACGCTGACATTCAGCACTCCATAACGTTTTCAGTCAAATCCAAGTTCTTGTTTTATTTATTAATGGAATGTATAAAGCTAAATATTTATCCACTAAGTGGCTAAATATATGGAAATACAGCTTAATAAGGATCTGCTATGTTCAAAGAAATGTATCACTTTGACTTTAGCTTGTCATTCGCTCAGCTGTATAAAACATTTCACATTTGTTAAGGTATCTCCTGCAAAAAGGGACTTGGAAGTAAAAAGTAGGTCAGGCAACAGTTCGAAGCTGCGTGTATGTAACATTAACTAAGGAAATATACAGGTAGTTTAAAATGTTTTTGATTAAACCATTTCCATAAAACCTGTCTAACCCGTTTGATTTAGAAACATGAATTTTAAGTTCATTCCCCAGACAAGCCGGCCAAACTGAGAACAGAAGCCAAAAGCAAATGTAACAAAGTTTGGCAGAGCAGGTGTTAATAGAGGATGAGTTAGTATGCTTTAATCGCCAGGAACACCTATGGCATCTGCAGTCCCACAAACACAGTGATATATGTAAACAGCAAAGCACCTCTCCAAATTCACCACCATAGTAATCATGGGTGTGAGCCTACAGTTTGTGTCTAAGTTGGGGGGGAAATCCAAGTTGAGAATGTTCACCAACATCACATCATCACTACTACATGTCTAAAGAAGATGTCTTTCCAACAGGCTAACCTGAAAGCACGAGTTGGACTCTTAACACCTACTCATCACACCTCTGTTAATAGTAATGGCATATCTGCAGCCTGCTGCCTACGTCATTCTTCCCTGGGCTGAAAAAGGGATAGACAGGCTCCTCAAAGCAGGTGTCGAACATGTAAAGTCTCTTCATTGTAACAGCATCATAGAAACTAAGGCGGCCATTGTCATAGTCCAGGTACACACCGACACGTGGCGAGTTCCAGTAGTCAGCGAGGGGAATGCGGCCATCTTCCACATTGGCGTAGAGTCGGTCCTGCAGACAGAGGCTCCAGTATCCTGCGGATGGAGTGAGATTGACAAAGCCCTTTCTGTTGCTGCACTCAGTCGTCACCCCCAGGTACCACACTCCTTTGTCCCTCACGTCCACTTCCCAATAGTGCTGGCCGCTGGCATACTGGGCTGTGGCGAGGACTCCACAGAACCGGTTGAAGCGGCCCGGAAGATCCGGCTCCTGGCTGCGAACCCGTCCCTCCTCCACTTTGGTGTCAAAGTCTGAGATAAGGAGGTTCGCGTGAGCGGTGTCTGGGTCTAAGGTCAGGTTCTGAGGCACTATGCAGGGAGAAATATGGACAGTTTATGATCACAAGGTAATCCTAATTATTTTATAATTAAAGTAAGTTCATCTTACTTCAATCACAATAAATTATAATGTTGGCAGCATTTCTGTTGCCTAAACCTACTGGTGTGCAGAACATGCATCATCTTCTTCCACATGATGAGTTGGAAAGGTCCTGAGAAGTCTGTAAATTCCGCCATACAACTGACCGGCTCAAGGGATGTGAAAGACTTGCGATGCATTGCTCTGTAGAGGAAACAAAAATGTTAACCTTTCATACTCTTTTTTTTCTTTTTAATTTAATGATGGTCTTCAATTGTAGGTTACTTACTCATTAAATGTTCCAGAAAGGCTCTGTTGGGAGAAAAATAAGATGTTACCTTAATTGTTATGCTGAATGTAATATTAATTTACTGCACATTAAACAAAGTAACAGTATTCATTAAAGGTTTTGGTCCAACTGGTGCAACTCTCTACAATTTTTATCTGATTTTTAATATCTTTTCAGCACACCTTCATGTTCAGCTCACCTCAAAGTTTGTCTTCCCACCAATGTGATTATGAATATCTGCTATGAGTCTGTCCACATCTGCTGCTTCACTCTCAACAAACTCCAGGTTGTCGTCAATGACGGTCAGGCAGGCTGCTTCCTCAGCATCCAAGTTCTCCAGAAGAGAATCTCTCTCATCCAACAAGAACTGGACCAAAGCCCCGACATCTGCTTCAATCTTCTCCTTGAGTCGTTGCTTCTTCAGCTAGAAGTCAGAGAAGTTTTAATATTCATGGCAAAATAATGAATATAAGGTCATTTGAAGAAATCAGACACCATACACCAGACTGTTTCTTATGTCATGCTAAATGACATATGGACCTGGAAGTGTCACAGTTTTGTGAGTACTTTGCTGCAGAAGGACCTGGCCAGCTCGCCATCATAAAACCCACTCAAGCATCCTCTGTTCCTCAGAGGATGCTTGAGTAAAATGTGAAACCATCTGTTAAAAAAATAAATCTAAGGCAAAACTATGACTGCTAACATGGCAATGACCCAAACATACCAGTAAATGAAAAGAATGGCTAAAAGTTATGACATAAACTGTGTCGCATAGCTTTTTCTTAAATTTGAACTGAGGGACTCAACTAGAGTTACAGACAAGATCTACAGGATGACCTAAAAATGATAACAAGCTAATGGTGGCAACCTACTGGATTTTAGCCACAGCTGCCTTGGGGCAATCTGAAAAGGGCAAAAAAAAATAAATGAATAAAAAATAAAAAATGAATTAAAAAAAAAAAATCACCTATGGGCTATGTTTTTCAGACACCATCAGGTGGCTCCAGTGCCAGAAGTTGTGAATGATATGAAGGTAAAAAAAAAAACAAAGTAAGGATTGGGGCAAAATGTCCTTGTTGCAAGGAACTGGTAGTTATTTCGACCAACTGGAGTAAGACTACCTGTTTGACGGTGTGACGTCCAAATTTCTCCTTCAGACAAAATACTTGTTCTCTGGAGAAAACCAGTGGTGTCATGTGTCTGTAATTTTGTATTTTTTTTTTCCCCATATTTTTCTCCAAAGAGTTTTTAGCGGCGCTAGTGACTCGCATTTTTTTTTAACAGTAGGCTGACTGGAAAGAGGGCAAAGAGAGGGGGGAAGACGTACGGCAAAACCCGCGACGTTCGCATCAAGGACTGAAGCCTCCAAATGTGGGGCGTGCTGTGGTGGCAAAGGGGATTAGAAAGAGGTTGGCTGTAATTTTGACAAAAATCTGAGACATCATTATGGGAGAAATCATGTTGAAATAACTGAATACTGAATGAAGAGGCCAAGTTGTCTATATTTCTGTATTCTTACTTCAACCAAAAATTGTACCCAGTACAGAGCTTAATTTAGTTCACTGATAAAAAAAAACTTACAAAACATTAAGATTAAAGCAATATTTAACACACTGCAACATGTTTTTTCACACAGTCAACGGAAATAAATTGAACTTTACATACCCGAACATCATTTTTAGTCCTTTCATCTGTTGTCTTGATTTTGGCATACTGCGACTTCTGCCAGTTGAGCTCCATAAGTCTCACTTTCAACTCCATCTGAAATAAATGAGCGTCATAATGTATGTAGACAAAAAAGAAAAAGAAAAAGAAGAGCATAACATGCAGAAAATTTTTTTTATTTCAACACAACAAATAGGATGTATAGTAAATTCTCCAAATTTACCATTTAGATTTGCAGTTTTAGAGAGTGATTTTACCTTCATATCATTCACAACTTCTGGCACTGGAGCCACCTGATGGTGTCTGAAAAACATAGTCCATGTTCACTGCTTCAGTTATTTACAATTTGATATTGAGCTTTCTTAATAAAAACACAGATCTTGGTGTCATTGCTGCCTAACTCACAAGATGGCACAGCATTATGACTTAAATGCTGTGCCTGTCATTTAAGTCATACAAACATTGCTATTGTCGCTTTTCTTTTAAAAATATTCAAATGTTCTAACAAAATTACACACTTTACTGATTTGCCAAATTAAGTGAAGAAAATTATTTTACATTTGAAAAGTATCTTTTTTGTTAAGCAAATTTACAAAAATTAGTGCAGTCGCATTGCTTTTCTCCTCTTTGTGAAAGTTTAAAGTACTAATATTTTACTCTAATCTGTGAACCTTTGCTTTAGCCTTATGGCACAAACAAGGAATGTGGTATGACGATAAAAAAAAGTCCTTGAATAATTGAATCAACAGACATTTTTCATTTTTGACTACAAAGGCAAGATAACAAAAACTAAAATAAATGAAAGGTTGTTGGTCAGTAAGCTAAACATAAGTTACCAAATCCTTAAATACATTCGTGGACTTCTATAAGCAAATTCTAATAGCCAAAACAACTTACTAAAACACTAGATGGGACTCTGCACTACTGAGCTTACTTTGCACAGATTTTTTCATGTGAGAAAGGGGTTTCAATATTCTCTTCAGAATACTTTGATTTGTCCTGTTGTCAATTAGTTTTCATTATATATTAAAACACAACGTAAAAACACTTTTTATTTAAAATATACTTCTTTAAAGATAAGTAGACACTGAAAATATGACAAAATGTGGAACAATCTAAGATGGCCGTCCTCGGACATCGAGGGCAGGCATCCTGCATGTTTTAGTTCGCTCCCTGGTTTAACACACCTGGATCAAATGATGGCTCGTTAGATGGTCTAAGAACATACTCTACATCCAAGCTGACTGGCAAACTATTTTGCTTGATGTGCAAAGGCAGTAAAACAAGACCCCCAAAATGTTTACCTTTATATAGCATTGACTCAAGGAGGGTGTCTATTTTTCAGATTTCTAAATTTGAGAAACATTTGTCATTTTATTTTGTTAAAGCCCTGGAATTTGAGATCTTGATTGAGATCCGATCGCAGTACCTCAGAATAAGGAATAAAGAGAAAAGGTTGTGTTTACCTTGTTTTTACCTATATTTTAAAGCAGTTATTGTACAATTCAACCAATCAACATGTTCAGTTACAAACAGAGTCACCCACCTGTCTGCAGTGCCTGGCCTCTGCTTAGTTCACTTTAAGGTTCAGACTGATACAAGCACAGAGACAAAGGCGCAACTGGTTTTTATCTACTTCTAAACTACTCCCTATAAGGAGTTTATGTGTATGTGTCCTTCTTATCTATGTGTGGCTCCAAGGCCTTAGTGGTGTCTAAGCTGCAACACTGTTCATGCAGAGCTAAGCAGTACAATGAAGCATGCAAGGTCATTTATTCTACGTAGGCTGCAATTTAAGTTATGCAGAAAACAATACACAATCAAATCTCCAAAAAGCTTCTACATACTAGAAGCTTTACAAAATTTTAAATCATGCTATAACAATAATTAAATTATGAAATGACAATAAGTAGTATACACATGTATTGATTTATTCCACAGTATAAGTGGAAAACACTTAAGTCTGTAAAAAAGTTGACTGTGTTATATATAGAATGAGAGTGTCACATTATTAGCCCATTTCAGCACGTAGAAATAAACAGTTGAAGTGTTTAAATTTTTCTAAAAGAAGGTCGCAACCAACCTGTGAGCTCTTGATTCCCTGCAGACAACACAAATGGGCCTCTTATCGGTTTGGCAGTAGAGTTTCAGCTCTTCACCATGTTGTTGACACTTTCCATCTGGTTTCATAGACTTGGAAGGAGCAGAAGTAGAACCCAGATGCTCCAGGTCGTCCAGTTTTGAAACTAGATTCTGCACCAGGTAGTTTTTAGTAAAGCTCCTCTTGTTGAATACCTGAGAAAAAGGAAATCAACAGATACATTGTTAGGTAACTAAACTTCCGTTAACTAAAGCGAGCTGTCATAGCAACTGTATCCAAAGACAGTGCCGAGTAGAGCTAATCGGTGCGAGGAAACATTTCTAAAATAAACCTGCTGTTTGGTTAAGCCTTTTACGTTATTTTCATTGACAAAACAAAATAATTGTTAAAGTCCTCTTAAAGCTTCAGGTTTTCCTGAAAAATAACTTCCTAATAATGTTGAAACTGTTCGTTAATAATTTTCTGCGTAAAAAATAACCTTCAATATCTGTAAAAAAAACAAAAAAACAAAAGGACAAGGAGGGAAAAAGCAGTTAGCATGAATCAACTTACAGTCCGGCATTGAGGACACTGATACCCGTAGTCTCCGCCATTTTCATCCCAGTGCATGCAGATACAAAAGCGACAAAAATTATGTCCGCACTTCAGTATTACTGGGTCTTTGAAAAAGTCCAAACAAATAGCGCATGTGAGCTCTTTCTTCAATTCGTCTCCAGTTGCTCCAGCGGTCGCCATGTTTACGAGCCAACAGCAGCAGTTTGTCAACACAACGCTGCTCCTGCAGGAAGTGAGGGAAGGGGAAGAAAGGAGGTGAGGGGGACTTTGTATTGCGTCAATCTCCGTTCTAACCAATCAGACTTTACGCTTTCTGGCCGCTTTTACCGAATTTAATACAGATTTTAAATCGAACTATTTTATTTCTTCCGTCGATCAACATAGTTTTGGCTTGTAAAAAAGTTCTACCATCTTTGTTTAATGCTGCCCACTTATGTCAGATAGTTTTCCATTCAATATATAATTACAACATAGGCTTGTTTGTATTTATAAAATTAATAAATAGAGGCATAATCTCTGGCATGTTGTTTTGGAAACATAACCTTTAATTCGAAAACATTTTCTTGCTGGAAGGAGAAGAAAAATAAATTCCAAGTAAGAAAAACATTTAATCTCAAAAATGCATCCAAGCCAGCCAGTCTTTTGATGGTTAAAAATTAGACTATGATAAATCTTTTAAAAAAAAGAAAAGACATGCATCCTTTTTTTTCATCTTTTGGGGGTGTAAAATAAAATACATGAATGTGCACCCTTTCAGACTATTTTTCATGCAGGTTTTGACTGTGGACACGTTTAACAACTGGTCTTCTTGGGAAGGTCTATACATGAAGCGTTTTGCAGTAAATCTGAACCTTAGCTGTTCTATCATGATTTTCTTTCTTTTTTATTATTACAAAAATGGGCTTCCCCATCCTATAGCTATAAAGCAAAGAGGATACAAAAAGATCAATGAAACCTAATTTTACAAATGTGTTAATCAGAAAAAGTGTATAGAAAATTCTCTAAGGCTTTGTCTAAAACCAGTTCATTAATAACATTAAGACCAAATGCTATCACTGAACTTACTCCACTTACTGTTTCTGAGATTAATTTATACTTTTTTTATGACCTAGGCTATCATTGAACAGTCACATGTCATACTTTTAAACTGTTTAGTAACTGCAATGTTTATATTTTCCTCAAATGATTCTGTAATACTTTTGACAGAGCTGTGATGCTTGTTTTGCAATGCTTTGGTAATTACTCCCAATGTGTGTTGTTTAAAAAATGTTGAGAAAAATCAATACTTACTTTATTTAATGTGCCATAATTCATATTTGTACATTACACACATAACATGAAACTCTATACAAATACAGATTAAAAATAACTCACGAGCAAGGAGCAGTAAATAATATTTATTTATTAATTACATTGACATAAAAATCAATTCATAAAAAGACAATACCAAGATTGATTGTGCTGAAAATCTGGTGTAAATGGAGATGACTGACTGTGGAGTGAAAGTTACATTGCATAGCTTGTAGTGACATGTGAGTGAAGTGATGCAAGAAAGTGCATTTGAAGTTAGAGACAGTGGCATTTTCTTATTCATTAGCATACAAAAACAAAACAAAAAAAAATCACAGTTGGATCTCAGCAGGCTCTTAAATCTTTACATTTCCCATTGATTGGCACATTATCACCACATCAGCTTACCCTGACAAATATCAGCCATATTTATACAGTGATGACTCACACCATCATGAGACAAACATTCAAGCACACAGACGCGATCATGTTCAAAGCAGAGTAAGACACTGATTTAACAATACACATAAATGGTAAATTTCAGAAGTGATCTTAATAAAATCATGGGCATATGTGAAATGTCTATACTTTGTCCCATAGAGATCTGTAAGCAGCTCATTTGTGTGCATTGCTTGTCCCAAAACAACAAATCCACACAGCACTGCCAAGAAATAAATCATTTCATAATCACGGCACCAGACTAATCAGTAGTGTAACAAAGAGGTGAAAGTGGCTTTGTGGAGGTTCTCTTCAGTCAAAACTACAACACCGTGCCTATTCAAAGCAAAAGGAAAAACTCCTGAGACGAGCATCTTTTTACAAGCATACCTTAAGTGTTTAAAAAGAAAACAACTTTACATTAACATTGAATAAATATGACAACAGTCTATCAGAAAGTGGTTCACTAATACTCAAAACGGTTCATACAAGTAAGCACACAACAGAGTAAAAAAAAATACAACATACAATGATTAAATAAACTAAAAATTGAGCAAAAGTCCTTTCAGATGTTGCTTATCTTCTGAAATTAGATATGCACAATTAAGATAAGTTATAATAAAGAAGTGACTGTCATTTTGTCTTTTATTTTCTGCAATAAATTGGGAAATCCTGACAAATCTTTCAAGAAAACACTCTACAGGATGCTTGCTAATCTTCTTAAAAAACAAGTGCAATAATAGAAGATGTCTTTTATATTCAAAAGTATGCCAAAATGACTAAATGGATTCTGCAACCTTTCACCATTCTAATATATCCCTAGTATCCTTAATTATCTTTTGCAGCCAGCAGAAAATGTAATGTTGAAATGGTAAGTACTGGAGTACATTGTTTGATGACAGCAGGGGTGTTTTCATTGTCGTACTTTCCTACTGTTTAAAACTGTCTCTACAAGCTGCCAGAAAAAAAGTACAAGAGTAATCTATGTTTTCTCCTGTTTAGAGCACAAATTGCACAGTGACATGTGCTCAGTAACATGCATGCCCCTTCACACTGATGGTGTTTTACTTTTCAATCAGTAACACAAAAGACAATTTTGGCTGTTTGGAAATATTTTGGTCACAAAGACCTTTACAGTTTAGAAATAAGAGGCTCTTGCCCTTATTGAGGTAACAAACTACAGCTGGGAAGTTACAAGTAACATTTATACCAATTTGGATTGCAGCTATCAGTTTCTCATGTTGAAAATCTTTGGTTGTGAGATTGAATTGATGACCTGTGGTCATACTGTGAAACAGGCTGATTGCCAGTCAACAGCATTCACACAACTAAAGCTGATCTGACAAATATCAAGCAGAAAAATCATCCAGCATTGCTGCTGCTAAGACAGAAATCACCTTCTTGTCTTTTTTAAATGCATCTGAACTTTTCTTTTTTACCTCAAATCTCTTCCCTCTCTTTTCAGTGTCCAGCTCAAAGAATAGCAACTGTACCATCAATAACCACAGTTAATTTAATCTTTTTGACATTAATCTGTTGCAACAAGTTATTTTTAAGATTTAAAAAAAAAATGTTTCTTTGACATATTGAAGCTCTGTATGATTTCTGCATTTGCACACTGTCTGTTGTAGTTGCACGAGCTGCCTGAACAGATATTCCAGGTAATTAATAAGCATCAGATACAGTATAAATAAAAAAAAAGGAGAATATAAACTACTTTAAATGGGATGCATATTCAACTTTAAAAGAATAGGAGAATGACTTGAAGAAATTACTGATTGCTTTAAAAACTGAGAATTTAATAATTATACTTTAGAGCTCGTTTTCTGATGAGGGTGAAGGATGAAAAAACAGGATGTCATACACTGACAAATTAATATTCTTCATAAAAGTATGTAACAACACTGCTCATTATTTTTTAAACCGAAAGTCTGATCTGTTCTCAGTGGCGCTGTTAATAATTTACAGAAGCCAATGTTTCTTCTCTGGTGATCATTTCATGCCAAAACAAAGCAAATATACAGATTGCTCATTGGTTGCTGTTTCATTTTGATTCAGCTTTCATCTTGATCCATCTCCTGTTATTAACCTATGAAAAGTACTTCACTAATGGCAGGAATAAAAATGTTCACTCTATGGATGCCACAATTCAAGATTAATATATTTTAAAATATAAACAGCACTTTAAGTAGTCATGTTCAGACATGTCAGCTTCACATGGACAATTTCATAAACATATGTTTATCAAAGCAGGCAAAATAATTTTAGCTGAACTGCTGTCCAGTTGTCTGAAAAATACAACTCACTGCAAATGATTAGCTCCAGAAACAAACTTCTGTTGCTAATTTATTGCAAATACAATCAATCTTATTGCAACACCACAAGGAATAATGCAAATAGAAAACATTATTACTATAACTATATTATAGGAATAATGGTTGCTTTTTATTTTAAATAAAGTACTTGAATCATGGTGTGACATTTATGTTTATAACTGTTGTGTTGATATTGCAATACTGTGATTCCTTCATGTTTTTATTGAAGATTTTCATACTGAATGCTACCTTCCTCCAGCACTGTATTTTTCACTTAGTCTGCATCATCCCTATGAACACTGGGGTCGACTGTCCTGAAGGATTAGTTTCTTCAGGCACTTTTAGATACAATGAAGAATTTACCCAAGACCAAAAATACTATGGTATTAACAGCAGAAGCTGAAATGACAAATAAAAACATGGCATCATAGTGTTGTACTGAGTGCAATTCAGTTCAGTGGTAACATTAACAGGCACACTCTAAGATCATTTGCTCAACTGAATGTTTTTGGTGCTGTAAAAGTAACTAAGAAAAAGAAAAGTAACATATAAAAACTCCTCCCACGTATTCTGTGTGTCCGTCTGTCCAATTCATGGCTCAGACCTCAGAGCTGTTGTGGCAGTCTTGCATCCTCACCACCAGCATGGGTTCAGTGCTGACAGAACCTTTCACCACTTCCTGCACTCCCTCGCTCCATATCTCCTTTCCATCCTTTTGTCTGGATTTCATTACCAGTGCAATGGTAACAATAATGAGGACTGTCAGCAGCAGCCCCACCAGTACCCCCACAATGCTCACAAGACTTTCCTCTTGATCCTCAGTGTTCAGCTCACCAAGTTCTCTGCCACCAGAGAACAACTCATCTGATCCCCTCGACCTCCTCTTGGTGCGGTCTAAAGCAATATGCATAATGTTGGTCCCTCGGCTGTTATCTATTCCAATATCTTCTGCAATTGCTGGGATTTTGTCGTGAGCAGATCTTTTTCTGCGATGGCTTTTTTTGCCTTTCGATGTCAGAGTGGAAACAAAAGAGTGGTACTCTAGGCTGCGTCTTCCAATGGCCCTGTTGGTGTTCTCTTTGGAGCGAACCGTGTAAATAGTGTGTATATACCATTCACGCCCTGCAGCAACCTGAGGATGAGAATATCTATGAACACTAAGAAAAAAGGTCTCAGTAATTCTACATTCTACTGCAAAAGCACAAAAGTAAAAGCATTTTGTCAAAATAGTCACATTCACTGTCCATATTTTCCAGGAAATAGACAAATAAAATTTTTTCAGTGATACTAGCTAATACAAGATATTAAAGACAATTTAGTCCATTTTTTAAACTCCAGTCCTTATGTGTTGGTGTCCTTCAACTTTTTGATGTCTTTCTGGTCTAACACACCTGAATGAAGTGACTTAATTGCCTCCTCAGCATACGGCCATGTTCTATAGAACCTTGCTAATGACAAAAATGCAAAGTTGAAGAACATTGATCTTCAAGGAGTCTAAGACCCCTGATTCAAAATATTAGTAAATCCACTATTCTGTCTCAAGCATTTACAGCAAGAAATGTCCTCTGGTGCTAATAAAAATGATTAATGGATTAAATGGAAGTAAGACTAAAAAGCTTCCATCAGTGAGACATAGCATACCTGGAACATGGCTGTTGAGTCCAGGCTAAACCCATCAGATCCTGACTTTCTGACAAGAGACACAGCGGATGGATCGTCTACTGCCAGCGCCGCATTAAAACTGACATCTCCAAACACACGTGCCTGAGTCTCTGGTTGAGCCTTGTCCTAGAAGTCAAACGATATGGATTTTTAGATAAAAGAAAATAGAGTAAAAAAAAGATTTCTCAAAGAATCACACTTTTAAGTTTCAAAACTTTGTTTACTCACAAGAATCTTGAATCTGTATAACAAGGATGGAGAGTCAGCAAGACAGCCAAATTCAAACTTAGTTGGGTTATATTTGGGCACGTAGCCATCAGCACCAGTGCAGAGAAACACCTTCTCTATGCTGCAGAAGAAAGAATCTCCCAAATTCTGCACTGGATCCACCATGACACGACCATATATTGTGTCACCTAAAAGAAGCAAAGAAAGTGTCAATTCTAAATGCAAATATTGTGAATCTTTAATGTTGATATTTTGTTCTACTTTTAATCCCTTTTTAAATGTTTGAGTGTATTGCGCTTTAGCAAAACTAATTAAGTGGAGATTATATATTTATTAAATGTAATGCAACTTTGCCAAATGAATACAGGAAAAGAAAAGTCTCGCCTTCAGAAAAAGTGACATCACTCTCTTGTTCAAAACCCATAGAGCCATCAGAAAGCCAGAGGCTCTTCTTGGCCAGCAAGAACATCTGAGTATTCAGACTAAATTCCACTGCAACTGGGTCGCTCACCTGCAGAGAGATTAAGTCATGTCAGTGAGTCAAGACAAAAAGTGACGGAAAAACTAATACACATTTTTCATCAGTGGATTTTTCTTCAAAGGATCACACTTACTTGCTGAAATCTAATGTCGAGATCAAAAGTGAGATATTCTCTGGGATTGCAAACAGGTGGAATAGTGTATTCCATGTTCTGAGATGTTGTACATGGGATCAAATTCACTGTGTATGTTCCAGAATAATCTCTGATCTGTATATGAAAAACACAAAAATAAAGGGCTTTCCAAAAGTTTGTTTGTTAAAAAAAGGAAATATTACATAAGACCAGTATAAAACTGCAGTATTTCTTCAAAAAGACAGAAATACTACCTTTTTGAATAGAATTTCAAAAATAAACAAACTTTTCAGTTCTATAATTTTTTGGGACGCATCTGTGCTTTATAGCAATATTTTATATAATGTTAACAGCACTCTCTGTTAAATACAATCTATTAGACTGCAGATGTTTAACACTTTTGAAGAAATGTAATAATACTTAAGGTTAGCACCCGATGAGTCTGATACTGTCCTAATCATGGGATGAAAAAAGCTGCATGCCCTCTTACAGCAAAATCAGAGAGGAAGGTCCATTGCTGGACTGGCTGGTTGTAGGTAGGTTCAGTCCTCACTAAGCTGAGGTTAAAGGTCAGGCCAGGGTGGTCCACACTCATCACCATCGATGATACGGATGTTGCTAGAGACATTTTAAGATGTTTAAAAGTGATATCAGCATCAATAATATTTGTTCTTGTTTTAGGAATCAGTAAATCTTATTGTGAAATCATGTCAATATTACCAGTTGTTTTGATTCTGCCTGAAGAATGAGACTCAACAAACAGACCCCTGAAATGAGCTTTGGTGCGGAAATTCACCACCATACATCCCTGCTCATTGATGCGCATGCTGGTAGGATACAACGATCCTATGAAAGAAAATAAAGAAATTCAAAAGAAAATTAATTTCTTGTAAGAGACATTACTCTTTCTGATATGGGAACTTACCCTGGAGCTCTGCCTGTGGTGGGCTGCCGATGCCCTCCTGCCACAGAATTGCTGTGTCATACACAAAAGTGAGACGCAGCTCTGACTGGAGGTCAAAGTGCTGCCAGCCACCGGTGCCCAGGGGCGAGTGGAACACATAAGACACGTAGAGAGGCACACGCAGGGTTACATAAGATTGGACCAAGTTCAGCACCTGCAGGAAATTTCAAGTGGAAATTAGTTGTTTCTATTTACCTTAAAAATAACTGAATGCAGACATCAGATTTTTTTTTGCTGTTGTTATTTAGATAAGTCCCTCACATAATGAGGTTCCTATTTTATATATATAAAAAAGTACATCCATCCAACCATTTTCTGTACATCCTTGTCTTTAGTGGGGTTAGGAGATAAAAGTACAAACTTGGTGTTTACTTGAAGCAGTTCAGTAAAACATCTCACAATCTTTCAGATTAAGGAATTATTGTAGGTTGAAAACCTATAATAAGTACAGAAAATATGTAACAGATGAACACAGTGTGCTCCTCCTCAAGGTCCTTGAAGTCTTCCACTCCTACTCAGTGGGTTCAGGATACAGAAACGCCTCCTTGTGTTGTACAAACAACCAGTAATGTAGGCTGATACCGACATCTCTCTTATCTTTAAAAGCAACTGTTTCAACAATAAAAAGCTTTCTACTGATCACAACTGAATACTGTATATATATTATTAACATAAACATCTTTAAATAATTCACTGCAAGTTATTCAGTCACATTCATATTTTATAAATGCAGTGCCCAAAATGCTACCACTAGATGTCACTGTACACCAATATTTTGGTTTTATTCAATCTGCCTTAAAAGATGTGAATTACATGACTTCACTCAAATTAGATTAGAAGTTCATCTTTAAAATATACAGAACTTACACGTTATATTTAACTGGTGTAGTGATTTGGATGATTTGGATATTCATATTCTATATTCTACCAACCTGCCCTGCTCTAGTAGATTTACAGCTGTGTCTTACTCTTTCTATTTTCACATGATGGACTGAACATTGCCCCAAGAGGTGCCCAAAAATTGGGATATTATTTTACAACATAGCCCTGCTTTGAATGCCTCTGTAACATCATCACTGACCTGTCTGATGCATTCCCAGGAATGTCACACTTTTCAGCTTATGTTATTATTAAAGTTAAATCTTTATTGCAGTTAGTATCAACTATTCTGTACTCTTTGATTTATGTATCCACCTGGAACCAGAACGCAGTGAACACCTTGGAAATGTTTTTTTTTTTTTCCCAGGACAGTAATTACAACTGGAACACCGGTCTTGTGGATCACAAGCCTTGCATGTAACTACATGTTTGCATGTAACTACTGTGTGTTACATGCACACAGTAGTTACATGTTTGCATGTAACTACTGTGTTACATGCACATAGAGAGGAGTTATTTTTACCTCCTCTCTATCTCCTTCTGTATTGCATACAGACTTACATTTATACCTAACTCCACACATTCATCACTCTAATCAGCAAAAGAAGCTGAAAGATCAAAGGTTGCAGGAGAACAAAAGAGCAGCAGGACATGAGCAGGGGTCATTTTCAAAGAAACTGTGTAAGAACTACTACAAAACTGCAAAGTCACCACCTCAACACCTGCATAGAGAATGTAAACAGAAATTTTGATTTTGTAAGGATCTGGTCACAATAAATACATTTGACAGAGTTATCTAAAAATCGTTTGAAAGATAGATTTGGAGATCTTCAAGTATAATGGCTTGCAATTGATGATGTTAACACTTTTGTGTCTATCTAAGCAGTGTTCAGCATTAAGCAAATCAATAGCTGTCTAGACTCTAAACAAACTTTGAGTGTTTTGTGTGCTTGTGTGCACTTTCTCACTGAAAGATGTCCCAAACAGGTGTCTGGAATCAGCAAACAAACTTCCACTGAATGAAACATTTAAAGGAGGAAAAGAGTTATGGCGCTGCTCTGTGTCACCTCCTCATTCAGACGTCAATGTGTAAATATACTGAGCATACACAACAGAGCACAAACAGGCCACAATCCACACCAAGGCAGCAGTTGGCCAAATGTACACACAATCTCTAGATTGAATTTTAAAGGCTGTTTTGGACAAAGGTTACACACACCTGTCCATCTGTGCCTATTGTACCTCCACAGTCTGTAAGCAGCTCAGACATGTGGTAGTAGCTGCTGAACTCCCACAGACATGCTTCCAGGTTCAGGTTCCTATAGAAGCGCAGCGTGTTGTTCCCCCGCAGAGAGCTGCTGAACTGGTAGGGCGCAGACTCCCCCATGTTCTCTGGGTTGCGTGTCGAAGCAGTGATGAAGCTGTGACCTGTGGTGACCTCATCGAAGTCAAGCAAATTTGAACAGCGGTGGTTTCCGACTCGAGTTCCATCTGGACTCAAAGTCAGGTCAAAGTTCATGAGGGGCCGAGTGGAGATTACTGGAAGCATACCTGCAAAATTGAATGGGAAAAGATTCCAAGCATGGTCAGGTATCTTTGAGAGATACTACGCTTTGCAAAACTTTATTTTAGTGGGATGTTACATGAAAGACCAACATAAAGTAGTGCATAGTTGTAAGATAGCTGTAAAATAATATATTGCTCTCAAACTGATTTCTAAATACAATCTAAAAAATGTGACCTACATTTGGATTTTGTCCTGCATAGCAACACTTTGTACAGTCACCTTCTGGACTAGTTACAACTATAAGTTCTTGTCTCTACCAGCTTTTTTAGACACTAAAATATTTAACATTTGTTCTTACCCGACCTGTTTGTTTAGGTGGACAGCAATGTTTTGGTGTGTTCATAGTTGTGCCAGACCTTTTCTATTTTCAGAGGATGTAATGGGTTGTGCTCTGAAAGATGTCCAGCTTTTTAGAAAATCATAGTCAGATGAAGGAAAAGCCACTTCCAAAAATGATTGAATTCTAAGACACAGCAAAGATCTACAATTTTTTACGTTTCTGTACTGAGAATGGGAATCTTATTACATTTGATTTGATGATTTCAGCACAGACAAAACAAAAACGACTTCAAATTATTTTGAAATAAAATCTCGAATTTAAAAGGAATTTATAGGTTTACTTTTTAAAACTGACAAGAATAATCTTCATTGTTTGATGGTTTTGCTAAAACAGACTCTGTAATTTTATTTTCCATATTTGAGCTCAGTTTATTCCCAAATTCATCTTACCAATTGTTTATAAAGGGGCTACAATATGTACTGTTTTACATACATACATTGTGTCATTTTAAAGCACAAACAAGTAATTATGTTACTTCAGTTGTTTATTAAAGACTAAAGGGACCTTAATAGAATTAATAGTCCGATATTTTACACAAATTTATACTATTATTACTTAAGTCTATCACATAAACAATAATGAATTATATAGACTATATTGTGAAGGGGCAAAATGTAAAAAGGTTTGATCGCAAATAATTGGAAAATATACAATAAACTTAAGAAGTGATGAATAGAGAAGTAAAACCAAAACAATTAATGTCAAGGAGTAGCCTGGATGCTGGTCTTTTTTTTTTTTTGCTGCCAGGATTCAAACAATATTCTGGGTGCCATGCTGCTACTGATCCTCAGTGGTGAATATTACTTGCACTACATTACACTTGACTTCATCCGTGGAAGCAGACCTGCCTCCAGCTCCAAACTTACCATCTATGTGAGGCATGGTGATGGTCACTTTGATCAGGTTAGGGTGTTTTGGGTCATCTGCTCCAGTGTAGCGCAGCTTTGCAGAGAAAGGTTCAGCGCCCACAGTTCCCAGCTTACGAGGCTGACACATACCTTTTTACGACAGAAAATAAAAGCAGAGACAAAAGCACAAACTGCAAATCAAAGTGAAAATGGCAAGTCAATGTGCATGAGTCTCCTTTGGAAGAGAAAAAACAGATTTGGAGATTTTTACATAACTGACTGTTACCAAGTCAGGTAGTGATTTCCATATTTGCAGGAATACACGACGACCACCCAGTGAGAGCAGGTCTGGACTTATTGCTTTCAGGATGTGTAGGTGGAAAACAGCATAAATGATTGCGTAGCAACAGCAAAAACCCAGCATTATTTTCTCTTTTTGAGAAATGACTGATAGTTCTGAGCCATTATCAGAAAATAGTTTGTAGAAGCACTAAATTATGGCATACTTGAACTATTATAATGAGGGGAAAAGAGTGCACATGTTATTAAAATGTTCTATTTTTGCATAAAGCTGATCCATGTCGTAATGGATCACTTTAACTCACAAGCTGACTCACCAAAGTAGATGAAATGAAACCAATTTAAGAAGGAGGCAGAAATATTATTTTTGATTACCTACTAAAATGTTGCAAGTCCTTGAGTAGTTAAATGTTGGGAAGCAATCCATTAAAACATGGATGGCTTTGTATATATCGAAAGTAAGTGAATAAACACAGTTTTAAAAATATCTATAAAAAAAAAGATTTCTGAAATGCAAAGTTTTCCAAACTACCTTAATTACATTTTTGTTCATGAGCTTCTCTTTCTCAAAATAAGTGTGTTGCACACAGATAGAAAACAATGGCCCCAAAAACCTGGCTTCTAAAAGAAGAGAAGGTTTTATATTATACAATAGAAAGCTCTTCTGTATTATTTAAAAATCCCATTTCCTGAAGATTCATAATTCCTAAAAAGAAAGCTCTAAGTAAACGACCAAATCGCTATTAGATTTCTTTTGTTTCCCTCTGAGTAAGTGGAAATGCACAGAATGGGGTTCCTTCATTGTTTGCCTCTCACCTTCCTCCTGGCTGATGGTGACAATGGGGCTGCTGAGCTCCAAACCTTCCTCCCCATTAGAGTTAACAGCTCGAGCAGCACACCGCACCCTTGAACCTGCCTGGAAGTAGACCGAGTCCAGCGTGATCATCTTGGAGGAGGTAAAGAACATGTCAAAGTCCACCTCCCTCATGGGGCTGGTGATGCCATCGGGACCTGCTGGGGCACCGATAAGCCAGCGGTAGCGGGTCAAGGTGTTGTTGATGTGCTCGCTGACACAGATAGGACCCGTCTTATCATAGTCTGGATATTTCGTGTTGCAAGCCTGCAAGATGGGGGTGTGGGTGAGTATAAAAGGCAGCAGAGATGATGAAATCCAGATGTTTCAATATGTTATGTTCTTATAATGGCGTGTTTATAATTAGCTTTTGGATATTTAGTAGGGTAGAGATAATGGATGAAGAGGTGAGCTTTAAAGAGATTCTACAAATATGCTTTTAAACCTGTTGACTCTAAGCCCCTTTGGTGTAGCACTCAACACTTTTTTGATTTTTTTTTTGACAAGACTACTTCATTTTGCCTCCTTGGGGAGCCTCACACACAACTGACCACACTGCAGCAAAACAAGCACATCAACTCTCCTGCACTCACTTACTCACACACAAACACACTCACAATCCGCACACAGCAGCCACCTGAGGATCAAATGACTTAACACATCACGAGAATCCACTTAAGAGTCTCACAGAGACAGTGTTTTGAGAGTGGAAGTGATCTCCCATGTGTGTAAGAGGAAGGACCGCAGCCCAGCTATACCATGCAGTGTGCCTTTATAATGACAGACAGGCCAAAACCTGGAGGACAATTTATTTATTAGCTTCCTGAGTGGTTGTGGGGGTGGACGGTAGTGGGGTATAGGTGTTCTGATATGGTTTTGCTGTCTTCATTAAGGGAAAACGATCAAACTTGGTTGGTTGGTGCTACACTTTTTTCAATTTTTCAAAAATAGTTCCAGTCTGATGTGCTGCTTGACTCACTGTGACACAGATGACTGGGTAGCCAGCTGGTGGGTGGAAGTTATCTGCTGTCCTGGCGATGTCATCGTAATGAAACAGTGACATGACATGGGGTGAGGAGGGGAAGGTGACATCAGCTATGCTGTTGGACTCTTCAATGTAAACTATAGCTTTCGTCACCTGTTCAAGAAAGAGTTTGAGAGTGATGACAGCTGCATATCGTTAAATTCTTTATTCTTTATTCAGTTTCTTCTTCCTTTTCTGTTTCTATCTCAGGCTCTTTTAGTGTGCTGGATGCTCTTTCCTTTTCTTAAACGATCTATTATTTATTGTGAAATATTTTCATTACAGCAAAGTGCTGCTGTTGTCTGTTCAGCACACTCCTAAAAAACAGATCCCTAGTCTCTCTGGGACTGACTGACCTGAATAAAAATGGCTCTGTACATCTTTTCACATTTACAGTTTGTAAAGCTCCCCAAATTAAGTGCAATAATAATATTGTTGGTAAAAGGAATGAAAGCATGACTGACCTGAGTTTCAGCCACCATGTTTTCATCAGGCTTCAGATGGACTGTAAAAGCCTCCCTCATTTCTCTGACTCCATCAGGCAATATCTGCACCTCTACACATGTTGTTTCTCTCCCTGTTTAAACTTGATATCTGGGCACAGACACAAACAGCTTTAAATGCAGCTAATGAATTGTACAAAAACAGGACAAACACATCATTAGCAAAAGTGTTTTTGTAATGTATTCAACTCTGTCATATTTATGTGGCAACAAAAACAGATGCCATTAAGGCCAAGGTTCTCCTTCATTATGCTTAATGTACAGATCCACTCAGGAAACAAAAAGGCAACGCACATTAAACTAAATGTTTTAATACCTACAGTATAAATTTTGATATTTCTGGGAAAGTTGCATGAAAATCCTTAAAAGAAACAAATCATTTGATTAGCTAAAAATTTCTTAAAAGATCCCACAGTGGGAGGGATCTTTGAGCATGGATACTCAAAAATCCCTTGAGCATGGATACTCAAAGACTCAGTGGGTTGCTGGTTCGAATTCCCACTCTGTTTCTGCACAGTTTTAAAGGTGTTTCATCTTTTTGAAGAAGACTTTTGGATAAAAAAAAGTGATGCTGGCACATAATTTTGCAAAAAAATGAAACACTTTCCATATATGAGAGTAATGAGAAATGCAAGAATTAACTACAAAACGATTAAATTTTGAAAAAGGCTTGAAGTCTTCATCCACACAAGTTAAATGTGAGACTTTTTGAAAGAGCTGAATGGAATCATCCAACTAGCAGTATATGAACAGATGACAGAAATTCAATTAAAAATTGCATGACCCTTCACCAGAGTTTTGCAGACATTTTACTTCCCTTTATGAAAGAAATTAACATCCCTAGCCAATTTGGTTGGTACTTATTTTTTCTTGGTGGCTTCTCTTACAGATACAGGAAATTATTTTAATCTTTTAGTAATTCAAAATGAAAATTGTGCAAGAGTATTTCTTAAAAATGATGTTTTTGTAAAGCTGATGTTTTAAGTTTTTGAGTACTTTTAATTGTCTTCATTATACTAATAAGTACTTGAAGTAAAAAAAAAGATAGTAAGTTGCAAACAAATTACGGTTTTAGCATTGCTACAAAGAACATCTGTTTTTACATATGTTGGTGAACTTCAATTGTGATTTGCACATTTGGAAAAATATTGCTTTTCCTTAATTAATTTTAATCATTTTTATGCAGATTTTTGCATTCCTGCTGATCTTCTTTAACAATTTCATAGGAGTTTTTAAAGTTCACCTTGAGACACTGGGTAATAATCCATTCCTGAGACGGCTGACCCATCTTTGGTATGAACCCGAACCACTGACACTTTTGATGTGTCGCCAACTCGTACCACAGGGATCTTCACAGTTACCACAGTCCCAGTTTCCTTCGGTTCATTAATGTTGAACTTAGTTTCTGCAAACCGAATGATTGGTTCTGGAAAATAAGAAGTCGGCAAGCAAAGCAAAATAAAATCTTAAAACTGTCAAATTATAGAAAATTCCTATTCGGTACCACAGCCTAAAATATCTGACCAATAGTTTGTTCTTTGTCTCACTTACTGTCAGCTGTGTCCTTTATTTGAAGTAGAGCCTCATTAAGAGATCCAACTGATGCGCCAAACTGTGAGCTGCTCCTTGGTGTCCCCAAGACCAGCCTTAGTTCTTCAACCTCCTCGTACAATGCATCATCAACCAGTGACAGGATACACGGCTTCTCCACCTCACCTAATGTGAGGGGAAAATTGTTGACACAAAACAATAAAAGCTTTAATTTGAAAGCAGACTAAACAAATTTGACTGTTCTCCAAAGCAGTGGTTTCCAAAAAATAAAAAAAAAACTGACTCAGAAGAATAGCAGAATTTTTAGAGGTCTTTGGTGAAGTAAAATTGGAGTTATTCTTTTTAAATCTCCAAATCCTGAACTCTTACCTCTGCACAGAAGTATAAAAAGCTGAATGTTTTTTGTAAAATTGTCCAAAAAATGTATTATTAAGCAAAGTTTTCTTCATGGTCTTCATGGACATATGTATGCACATGCATGCAAACATAGGGAATGCATGTGAGCACAATATAAGGAGTGCACACTGTCTATCCAAAGAGTCAGGTTTCTAAAAGAGATTGGAAACCACTGCTCTAAAGTACTAACATTCTTTTAAATGTAAATATTAACTCAACATAAAATTAAAATTTAAAATATACAAAAAATAAAAAAACATAAATGCTTGATAAAATACTATACCGGGTGAAAAAGTGATGATAGAAGCATCTGTGTTGGGACGCTCCTCGAAGTCAGAGGCAACTTGTGCGGTGCCCTGACGGGAGTAACAGCGAACAGAGGATTTGTGCCAGATGTCACCACTGCGGTACACTGTTGCTGTTATCTGACCATCACTCTCCTCTCCACTGTAAACCGGTTCACGAAAATGGACCTTCGGCACTGGCAATCACATGAAATGAACAGTGATAAAATTTCTATTGCATCATAGATGACCTATGTCATCATTTCAATGAAAACCACACTGCAATGAATGAAAACAATAACATGTAACATAGTACTGATGTGTTATTATTATTGTGTGCATTGACAGAGAATTATTCAATAAGTATAGATAGACAAAGCATCATGAATCATAAGACAAGGACTGTGACCTTATGTAGTCTATGCTTGAGAAATAGTACGTTTATTTCATATTCAAAGCTATAAACAGAACCAAATATGTAAAGATTAATTTTTATCACTTACAGTCAGACTGTGAGTCATTGATGAAGACTGTAGCTTTGCCAGGTTCGCCTAGAATACCATTTACTGGCATTCGCAGAACTAACTCAAAGCTCTCGGCTCCCTCCAGCTCTGGCTGTCCCATATCATCCAAAATTGTGACCTTAAATGTCTGCATGCTGACACCTGGGGCAAAGTCCAAGTTATGACTTATGCCCACATAGTCAATACCAGCTACAAAAAGGACAGAGAGGAAAAAAAAGACATTTGTTAAGGAGACACATAGAATAAAGACTCATGAGGATTAGTGATATATTTAATATTTTCAAAGTATTTAGAACAGATATTTGATTGGAAACCTGCCTTCAGCAGAGAAACGCTCCACCTTCCGAGAACGGATTGTCACAGTTCCCGTTTTGGACAGATCGGTTCCTGTCCTCCACACTTTGACCTCCACATAACCGTCACTTTCATCCACATGATACTGGCCTTCTCCAAAGTAAAACACAGGAGCTGTAGAACGGAGATAAAAAAAGCATGTTGACTGGCAAATAAATGTGTTGTCAACATAAAACATCTATTAATATTTGAATTAATAGATGTTTTCCTTTTCAAGGAAACTTTAACTTTCAGCTTCATTGTTCAAGGAAAAAACTTCCCATTGTAATGAGTTCAATATCCTTTATTAAGGTGCCAGGTTGTTGGTGTCTCCTGGCCTTATTATTTCACAAACTGCTGATTTATTTTATGCCCAAGGGTCTCTTGTGATAATATCAAGTAAGCAACAGTTTAGCAAATGAAAATGCCTTGTTGATGTTAGAGGTGATAGGGGAACAGACAGTCTGATTTGAGAAAACAGAAAGGTAACAGTAGCTCAAATAATTTGTTACATAAAAAAGTTATAAGTAATACTATCTTTGAAAGTACATACAATCAAACCTGTGATGAGCATAAAGGTGTTTTCTCAGATTAATTTTTAGATTTTATGTTACTTCTGTTTGACTGATTTATTTACTCCTATTTTATGTTGGTAATTATGTTTCTCATTCGAGACTCCTCCATTTTATCCCGCCTTCTGAGTTTTCTTGACCTCTTTCTGCATGTGTGTACATATAGTTAAGTTATCTTTGCCTGTACATCGTATTAGCTTTGTCTGTAGTCTAAAAGGCTTTGTTTCTGCTAGCCTGTAGTGTATGACATGGTTTCAGTTTTCTGGATTTCTAACCTGTCTGCAGATTATGCACCATCCATCCTGACACCTTTTGCCTCAAAGATTTCTGGATTATTCCACCTTGTTGAACAATTTGTCTGTGCGCTGACCCATTTCTCCATTAAAGGAGATGAACAGAGTTCCTGTGTAGTTTGTATGTCTTTGACTTGCCAGCCTCATAGAACCAGGGGTGGACCACACTGAGTGTCCCTCCTGTCAGCAAGGAATGGGAAACTGAGGCTAAAATTTGCAGAAGCTCACCAAAAGTAGGCAACAGTTTTAAAAAAATACCTCTTGGTTCTAAAACTCTTGATTTGAGCTGGATCCATGATAAAAGCATGGATACATTTTACTTTGCAGCAGACATCCACGCTGGTGACAGCAGTATAAGGAGGAAAGGACGAAGCAGCACTACCAGGATCATATTAACAGATACCCCTAATGTATTTAATACACTGGGGGGTGCTCTGTTGTAGCCTGAATTACTAATTCAGAAACTCCAAAAGACAGAAGCGGTGGATTCGACAACTGTCTGGATAAATAACTATACATCAACGGCTGAATTATTCCTGTTTCTTTATTGATATTAGCACCGTGCAATTACTTTCTGTTCTGTTGCCATGTAATTACTGTCTGCTTTGTTGATATGAATAATACTTTTAACAACTACCAGAGCCTCAAGGCTCTCTGCATATTTATATTGGATGTTTATAAACTATTCCAGTCTTTTAGGACAATTTAAATAATTGCAATTATGTTTTAGTTAACAGCTATGCACATAACTTGATGTAGTTAATTAAAAATGTTTTAAATATATTCAATACAATGTATTTGCATGTCATAACAAAAACATTAAACACTGTTAATCCTCCGTGAAGATAACATAATACCGTTTGCACAAAATATAAAATGGAACTATCAAGTATAGATGTGCAGATGTACATTTACACTCTTGTTGCAACTCAGGCTTGACAAACAATTACAGAGCTGCTGCTGTACTTCAGAATACAGTATAATGTAACCAAACTTAGTAACAATTCTCATTGAAAAGCAAAAATTATAAAAAGCAATAAAAAAAAGAACTAAAATTAAAACCTCAGCTGACAATACTGCTATTAGGGTAACACTGTTTACTGGTGTACTAACAACACGGCCCATTTCCAGGTTCCCTTACTGAGTGAGGGAACTATCCATAGAATAGAACAGAGACCAACCTAAAATAGCATAAAAACAAATGTTCATTGATGTGTACCATGTGGAAGGTCCTGTCATCAGTTTCCAGTTTACCTACTGCTTTAGCTTCAGTCATTTAGCTTCAGTCTAGTGCTGATTTCCTGACTTTGACATCTTACTATTTACTTTAAACCCCATGTAACTATTCCATGCTTGAGTTTAAGACCAACATTTTAGTGTTTCTTTGTTGTTTCCACATGCTGGTTTAACACGGACCTGTCAGCAGGCACATGAATTATTTGTAAAGGCACAGCCCACGGACGGGGTCAAAAACCCAACAGCACATTAGTCTGACATCAAACTGCAGGGAGGCCTGACCTTGCAACCTTTCCTGTCCTCTCATTCAACTTCTCGGTTAATTGTCATTTGCCCTTTCACACAGAAACAGAGCCTCTGTTCATCGCCTTTATTCGTTCACACAAAGCCAACCTTGGAGGGCAAAATGTTACGCTCTTATGTTTTCAGACAACATGATAGTATTTAACCTATTAACTCCTTGGTAGGAGTTTTCCTCTCTTTACTACAAGAGCGCACAACTCATCAATCAATCTGTCAGTACTCTAAAAAATAAAAGGTTTACAGAATTTCAGCAGCAATACATTCCAATTCCTTTTTCAAGCATTTGCAAATAACAACAAAGCACACTGGGGGTGAAATAGTCCCACTGGGAGAAGGCTGCACTTCTTCTCCTGACAAAAGAACTAAGTACTTTTTACAAATGAGGATGAAGTTAACACTGAAAACAAAGTCTCTCTGCATGCATGTCTTTATCTCTGGATGCTGAAGAAGTGAGATGACAAGACAGAGAAAGTGCCAACCCACTCCCGTTTCCAAGAAAGCTCAAAGGCTTGTTTGAACAGGGATTGCTTCCTAAGGCAGTAGAGGCAGTCCAGTGTGTATTAGACAGATGCATCTTTCACAAGTTCTGCTGTCAAATGATACTTGTTCTCACTTGCTTCTTCTTATATTCTGGGATGTAATCTAAAAATAGCAACTGTCATATTACTTTTGTGAGAAGATAAAACATCAAGCCCATCCTCCATCCATCCATCCATCCATCCATCCATCCATCCATCCATCCATCCATCCATCCATCCATCCATCCATCCATCATCCATCCATCCATCCATCCATCCATCCATCCATCCATCCATCCATCCATCCATCCATCCATCCATCCATCCATCCATCCATCCATCCATCCATCCATCCATCCATCCATCCATCCATCCATCCATCCATCGCTATTGGTTTTATTTACATGCTTTAAATAGGCCAACAAACAATAACCAAAGCAGTGACTATAATAAAGGCTTTAAGAAAATTGTCAACAGTGCATTCTGACTCTAAGCGTCATGGAAGAAGTGACAGCTTAGGGTAACACTGAACATCAAGTGCAGCCTGTGTCCTCTTGCTTCCCTTTTACCTTCTCCTCCCACACACAGTCAACAGATGTAGCGTTGGTTTGAAGTTCATTTAGAATTTGTGAATTTTCATGCTGGCAAAGTAAAAGAAAACAGCACAGAATGAATAGGTGGGGGAAACAAAAAAAACAACAACCATACATCGATAATGGCATTTGACCAATGAAAAAAGATGGACCAGTTGCATGCATTTTCTTGATTTTCCACCATTATTAATTTATGAACTGTGTGTTTTTGCTTAACATTTGACATAAATTCTGGCTAATATTTCTTTGTGCACAGAGAGGACCCCTGTGCAAATTTGCAAACATGGCCTTCATGTCTGCCGTCACACATATCCCAACTTTTACACCACTTGATGAGTGATGAATGAGAGAAACATCCATTCTCCCTACTGGGGCCGCGCCTCTGCTTTAGCACTTCAGTGTGTGACTGAAGGCTGGAGAAGGTGTGAAAACAAATTGCGATAATTACTACTTTGTGGGTGTCTGAAGGCATTTGTGTCACCACTGCACCTTTAAATGTACTTTATAAAGCATTCTCAACTGTACTTTTAAGCATCATCCGATTTTGGAAATAAAGCTAAGAAATAAGACCTTACAAGTGTGTCTTTGTGTACCAGTTTGAAAAAAATATCCTCTTTCAAATAATGAACACCTTCCTCTTAGTGGTTGAACAGTAAATAAGATACAGGAAATCACAAGCCTTGTACAATGTAAAAGGTTTTCAAAGAGGTAACATATCTATACAAAATGTGCAGTGCCTTGCAAAAGTCTTCATATCTCTTGACATGTTTCACCTTTTTCACATCTTTTGCAGCATCTAACAGGTTTTCTCCAGCATTGCCTTCTATCTATCTCAGTCTATCTTCTCATCCACACTGACCAGCTTCCTGCCTTTGGAGCAGAATGATATCTGCACAGCAGAATGCTACTGTCACTTCCTTTCATTCTAGGTCTTGTGTTCAGAATAATTTGGAAGGTTATTCTTCTGCTGTAACATATAGGGTTTCACATATAGACCAAACAGCTTCGTTATGATGGCATCTGACAAGATTGCGTTCTTTGCCTGCATTGCTTGGGGCAAACAAGCAATGCAGGAGCTATTCCCAAGCAATGCTTGGGAATAGGTTTTTTTCTGGCTTTCTTTCAACAATTGCAAACTCTGAATGAGACTTTTAATGGTTTTGTTTAACAATGGCTTCCTCTCTGCTCCTTCTACATAAGATTAGATTTGTGGAGTGCAGAGCTAATATTTGTCTTGTCAACACATTCTCCCATTTGGAAAAGTGGTCAAGCATCAAGTCAAAATGCTCCCAAAAGCTTTTCAAAGTACATGTTATTTCAAGACTTAAGAGTGTAGCCATGCAAGACGCAGCAGACAGGAACTATAGTTTCATCTGAGGCGGTACTAAATCGAGCAGATATCTTAGAGCCTTTTTTTAGCTGATGTGGAGGAAAGTGAGTGTGAGAGAGAAGTGAGGCAGGCAGTGTATAAGAAATAGAAGGAAGGAGAACGAAATAGTTGACTTTGACCAGGGGAAGAAAAAAATGAGTCTAAGAGAGCAGCGACAGTCACTTGAGAATTTTCTCCGTTTTTGCGGTTTTCACACCATTTACTTTTGATGCAGCGATTAAAGTCTAAAA